TATATATTAATATTACTTTAATTATTATTATCATTATCTCGTGTCCGATATGAAAAAAATAGAACGATTTGAGTATAGATATTTTAAAATTCTCTTGTTGCACAATTCTAAGAAAAAAACATTCTATTACGTACGAGACTGATAAAACAAACGCACCATCAATCCAATCTAATACAATAAATACGGAATAGATGATTGTGGAAACTTTGTAATCTTATGCTTATCAATAACTCTTCCATGAATTAAACCGTAATTTTTTCGATTTCCTGATATCGATAACGCACGATCTATATAAATTGCTGTGACCAGAATGTAACATCTTAAATTATCAAAATGTCACTCAAACTGATTATTTATATTACCTTTCTCGTGACGATCGCCTCTGGTAAGTGAAATTTTAACACAGATGGTCGTAAAAAATCAAATATCAAATTTTTCGTCGATACTTTTCATCGATCGCATTTTATTCGATCTAAATTATTCGTTGCTCGTTTACAGCAAAGCCCTATCGTAGCTTCAGAATACCGTTATTGGAGACTCGCATAGTCGGAGGAAACGAGGCTAGACAAGGGCAATACCCATGGCAAGTTTCTTTGCAATGGGGATGGTTGTCCGTTTCCTCTCATTTCTGCGGTGGTTCCATTTTATCCGACCGATGGATAATCACGGCTGGACACTGTGCCAAGGCTGTTCCGAGCTACGGTGATTTCATAGTCAAAGCCGGAAAGCACGACTTGAAAGTAGTAGAAAGCACCGAGCAAAGTATCGCGGTCGAGAGAACATTCGTGCACAATAAATACACAGGGTAATTGAAATCTTATTTAAATTTAAAAAATATATAATCGAGATTTTCATCTATAAAATAATTAAATCATTTAATAGAGTAGAAATCATATTATTAATTTGTTCATCGACTACTTTTCCAAATCTATCTATCCTCCTTTTAATATTAATATAATCCTTATCTTATTAATATTATTCTTATTAATTTCAGAAACGTGGCTCCCTACGATATTGCGCTACTGAAACTGAAGAAACCTTTGAAATTGGGTGGTGCTGTTCAAGCGATTAATCTTCCAAGTATTCCATCGAGCACACCAACCGGAAACGCGACTTTGACTGGTTGGGGATCGATGTCGAGGACCGATACCCCTTTAATGCCCAACAAACTTCAAACCATCGATTTGCCGTTAATCAATCTGAATATTTGCAAACAAGCCATAGAAGAACTTACTGGTCCATCACCATTGCACGAAACTAACATTTGTACTGGACCGCTCACCGGTGGTTTCTCCGCGTGTAACGTAAGTATCACTTGCTTTATATTTATGGACTTGAACTTAATTACAAATTAATTTCAATCGCGATCAAAGGGCGATTCTGGCGGCCCACTGGCTGTTAACGCGACTGGAAAAGCCGAACTCATTGGAATCGTTTCTTGGGGAATCTTCCCATGTGGAACCGTCGGTGCACCATCTGTATACACCAACATTTCTTTCTTCGTCACTTGGATTGGAAACATCATGGCGAGAAATTAAATAATTTAATTCTTAATAATCTTTATTAATTAAAGTGTTTTGACGATAAAAATATAAAATGCACGTGTTGTGAGTATATTATAAATTATAAAAAAGTTATATCTATTCTTGATACGAGAAATAAAAAATTCTTCGACACCGCATTACATTCAACGCCATTAATGGATAAAGAAGAGGGGGGAAAAAAAGATAAAGAGTTTGTCGTCGAGGTACGACAAAACTAGTTTAAATTCTAGTTATTCTAAGTTGTGGTAGGAAGGAAGAAATGATTCCAGTTCCTCTTCGATATGCTCTTCCGCGATTGCTTTCGCCTTCTAGAAGACTCGTCATTCGATCTCGATTCCTCGGTGATGAAACAGTTCCACGAAATGACGATTAATCGCGTTCACGGAAAATTGTTATTAATTCTTCGCGTAATGAGTCTGGCGTGGTGTGGACAAGTTGACGGTGAGAAGAAAAAAAAAAAAATTCATTCAATTTTATCGTATCCTATTCAATATTTCTATCTAAAAAGACGATAGAACCGGTTTGGATTAATCCTATCTGAACTCAATTATTCTCGCTCGTCAGAGATGATCTCGAGCATAGCGATGTTGGCGCAAAGACCAACGAGGATCGTCGGAGGGAAAGACGCGCAGAAAGGGTTGCACCCTTGGCAGGTGTCGGTGCAATGGGGCGATCCAACGAGAAAAATTCCAACGAAACACATTTGCGGCGGTAGTTTAATAACAGCGGGATGGATATTGACAGCTGGCCATTGCAAAACTCTGTCACCACCTATGGGAGAATTTCGAATACTCGCCGGCAAGTACAAATTGAAAACGATCGAGGAGACCGAACAGGAGAGATTGGTGAACAGGGTGTTCGTTCATCCACGATACAAAGGGTGAGATTTCTTTTTTATTATCCACACGTAATTACGATTTGGAAAAACATCGAATTCTGGCAATTCAGGCGCGTAGGGCCGTACGATATTGCGTTGATGAAAGTGGAACGACCATTCGAGTTGAATCTTTTCGTTTCCACTGTTTCTTTGCCTTATCCCGATACGATTCCCGTTGGAGACGCTATGCTGACTGGATGGGGTAGTATTGGAAGGAGCCAGGCTCACGAATCGCCGGAGAATCTTCAAGCAGCCATACTCCCGATAATTAATTATCAATTGTGCAACAAGATAATTACGAAAAGTTTAAAACCGAAAGAAAAGAATCCTCTTCATCCGACGAATGTCTGCACTGGTCCTTTGGA